TCATTGTGGGCGTAGCAGGGCTTCCGACCGTCATCGTTGGTACTCTGGTCGTTGCTTCCAGGGTGCGTGCACCTGTATGTGCGGTGAATAGTGTAGGTGTCCTAGAAAAATTAGAAAATGTAGGGAGTGTGACACCTAGACTCGATGTGCTCAAGGAAGTGGTGGTGACCTCGGGCTGTTGGCCACTAATTCGCTCGACTGGTTCGGAGGGAACCAGAGAGGTGGGTGAATCCCGCTGTTTTGAAACAATAGCCTGTTGGGAGGCTATCGAATGGCTGGGAGAAGGCTGTGCTTGCGCAGTTGAGCCAGATGCTGCGACTTCTACCCGGGAACCGAAAAGATCGGCTCCTGCACTTAAAGATTCAGCTCGGCTTATATTAATGAAGGGTTGACAATCGGCGAAGATATGCAAGTCGTCCTCGTCAACAAGGTGTCTTTTGACGAGGCGTCGCTTCTTGGAGTTGAGTGACTGTGGAGCATCATTTTTCGCTTTGATGCGCTGCTCCCTGATGATGCCGGTAGCACTTGCTATATTGTGACCGGCCTCCGTGGTCTTGATGACGAGCTCTTTGGGGCGTGTAGCAATAATGGGGGCTGCATCCTCAGCGGTGATTTTCTTCGGAGGAGATTCAATAGGCAGCTTACCCTTTTGGATGAGAGCAAAAGTGTGGTCCACATCGTCAACATCATCGTCATCATCATCATCATCGTTGTCACTTCTGGCCACGCTATCGGAAGCCTCGTCGTCAGCCTCTTTGTGGGCCGAGCTGAGCGAGTCATCAGCAGATTCCTCAGCGTTCGTCGGTTTGCCCTCAGTTGTCTGAGTCCTCTCGAGAGATTCATCGGACTCTCCTTCATTGGGCCGACGTGCCACTGGCTTCTGTGGCTTTGGGGCGCTCTTGGGACCCTTACTTACACTCAGTTTAGTCCCCTGGGTAGGTCCAGCTGGGTTTTGCTGAACCATAGGGACTGTTCTCTCAAGGTTCTCCTTGTATGCGACGATGATTGGATTTGACTGATTTGCCAGGTTGAGCAGAGCATCTGGAATCCGCAGGCCCTGATCTGCTTTCTTATCAGCTTTGAAGTATTGGAGCTTTGGAGCTATGAAGTGTGGATCATCAGTACGTCTAGGAATGGATGTGTTTCCTGTCATGCAGTCATGGATGATCAGCCCCAACCACCTGGCGTATGGAATGGTGCCTGACCTGTTTTTCTCTTTGGCTTTTACCAGGTCCATTAGCTCTGAGAAGAAGAGCTGAGCCATGTCATACTTCTTGTTATATGCGATGCCGTGGAAGACGCAAAGTATTTGCTTGTTGCATTTGTCCAGTCCGGCATGCTTTGGAGAGAGGCACTTGTTGACTAGCCCGAATAGGCTATTCCATGGTCGATGAAGGTATGCTCCATTGAAGTTCGACAGTTTGGGTAGTAGAGAGGCATAACCCAGAGCCGCGACATCTTTGAGAAGATCCGGAATAGAAGGAAGAGGATCGTAGCTGTCATGTTCGGGGAGCACCAGTGTAGAGCGTAGGGTTGCTGGGGTCAGGACAATCCTCATGTTGTTGAGCTTTGTGAGGATTTTGGTGCGGTCTTTTGTTGACTCGGTGCGCATATGTCCCCATACTTGTTGGATGTAGATTTCTGGCACCGACTTTGATTTGTGGAAGGCGGTCCAGAGATAGTGGCGCTTCAGAATCCCGGGGATGACTGGATCCTGACACTTGAAAACAGTCAGATCCAGCTGGAAGTTGTTGTCCAGCACCTTGACCCACCTATCTTGTGGGTAGATGGAGTCGTCAATGTTATGTCTCTTTTGTGTACCTGCCATAATGAGCTGTGAAAACAAGGGGTCACCATATGAAATTCATCTGTTTGATTTGATTGAAAGAGTTTGATTTGCAGTTTTCAGATAAGTTTATGCAGGTGGGATTTTGGAAAAAATTTGCGAAGTCCAAATCTCGAGATCTGAATCTCGAGATCTTGATTTCGAGATTCAAATCTCGAGATCAAGATGTCGAGATGCAGATTTCGAGATCCAAATCTCGAGATCAAGATTTCGAGATCCAAATCTCGAGATCAAGATTTCGAGATCCAAATCTCGAGATCAAGATTTCGAGATCCAAATCTCGAGATCAAGATTTCGAGATCCAAATCTCGAGATCAAGATTTCGAGATCCAAATCTCGAGATCAAGATTTCGAGATTCAAATCTCGAGATCTCTCTCGAAGATGAATCGACGAACTCGAGATCTGGAGAATTTTGAATGTCGAGATCATATTTCTCGAGAAGACGATTTCCACCTGCAAAAACATAATCAATAGATGCGAAAAACAACATATAATAAGATTTCGACCTTGAATTTAAACCTAAACTCTTTTGGTTTTGAGAAGTTACGATCGTTTGAGAGAATGTTTTTTTTTTTTCGTTTTTCGAACGAGGTTTGCGAGAAAGTTTTTGCGAGAACGCTTTTGGATTGTGATTGTGAGTAATGAACTACCTTCGTAAGGGGTTCGCTGATAGAAGATAGAAGGAGAAAAGGCAGAGGAGTTTGGGGAAGACGAGGGAGTTCGGGAGCTCTGTCTGTGCCTTGTTTGCGAAAAAAGAGAATGGGGATGGAAGGGTTTGTCGCGAAGCTTATATACGCGAGAAGATTGGGCCCTTTTTCAAAATATCAGTTTAAAAAATTTGAGGCCCAATACTCAGTGAAAAATAGAGCTCCCCCTCAAACAGTGAAATTTTTTCTTTTTCTCCCCCCCAAAAAATGCAACAAACAATATGTACAAATGCAACACACGCACACTATTTTTTGTTCTTTTTCTGATTTTCTCCCCCTCAACACATGCAACGCACGCACACTATTTTTGTTATTTTTCTGGTTTTCTCCCCCTCAACACATGCAACGCAGACACACTATTTACAGATCACACTCACACACACTTTTTACAAGTCCCACACACACACACTTTTCAGACCAGTGGAGATAAAATTAAACAGACTCGAGGTTCAACATGCCCAACTTGGAGATCAGGAACTGGAATCGTTTTTCATCCAATGCCTTAGTGAATAAGTCAGCCAGTTGAAGCTCTGAGCTTACAAAGTACATATCTATATCTCCTTTCTCTACGTGATCCTTGATAAAATGATAGCGCAGATCAATGTGTTTGGTGCGGGAGTGGTGAACTGGATTGCTTGTGATGGCGATGGCGCTTTGAGAGTCACTGTAGATCGGGATGTGGCGGAATGTGTAACCGTAGTCCTGTAGCTGAGTCTTCATCCATAATATTTGTGAACAACAACTAGCAGCCGCGACGTATTCGGCCTCAGCTGTAGATGTTGACACACAGTTCTGCTTTTTGGAAGACCAGCAGACTAGCTTCTCGCCCAAGAATTGAACGGCTCCCGATGTACTTTTGCGGTCCATCCGGCAACCAGCAAAGTCAGCATCCGAGTATCCGACTAGATCGAAGCCTGAATGCTTGGGATACCAAAGGCCTAGATTCACCGTGCCTTTGAGGTATCTTAAAATTCGTCGTACAGCTGTCAGATGGGATTCCTTCGGATTTGCTTGAAAGCGAGAACATAAGCATGTGGAGAAGACAATGTCAGGCCTGCTTGACGTGAGATATAGCAAAGATCCAATGATGGCCCTGTAATTTGTAGCATCAACTGGCTTCCCGGAGGGGTCTGAGTCCAGTTTGTTGTTTGGGGACATGGGGGTCGTCATGGAAGATTTGCCTTCTATGTTAAATCTCTTTAGCATATCCAGAATGTATTTGGACTGATTGATGAAAATGCCATCAGAGAGTTGTCTTACTTGCAGGCCTAAGAAGAAGTTAAGTCCGCCCATCATGCTCATCTCGAACTTGGTTTTCATATCAGGAATACAAAACGTTCCCTTAGAAGTTCCTTTCTTGGTTTCTTTTTCAGGTTTGAGCTTTCTGAGAGGCTTTGATTTAACAACATTCACATCACATTCATAATTATGGGGATCTGGAACAGAATAACCATAAGCAACACTTGTATTATAAATAGAACGTTGTCTAGAAGATGTCTCAGAAATCTTCAGCTTGGGACTCAAGACTGAACTACTAGAAGTTCGTTTTGTAGAGACAGAATTACAATTATCTTTAGAGTAAAAAATAGAACTAGATCTAGGACTGGCATTATTCTCAAAAACTTTCTTTTTGCCATCTGCGATTTCCTTCCTCTTTTTCCTCCACTCATTCTTCTCTTCTCCTTCCTTCTTCACTTCATTCCCTGTAAATAAAGGAGAAGAGAGATGAGTGGACGAACCTTTTAAAGCATTGTTTTTCTCATGTAAGGTGTATGAGCTGTCAGGCTTAGTCATAGAAGGGTCTGTTTTAGCATGATACTGCTCACTCAAATCATTGAACTTTTGAAGAAGTTCCTGCCAGTTGCGCTCAAAACCTTTCTTTTCAGTTTCAAATCTCTCTCTCTCTCGTTATCAAGAGTTTCCTGTAGGTTTTTGAGCTTTTGAGCCATGGGAAATATACAAGGTTCCTCACCAGTTCTAGCAATACCTACTCTTGGGGGAGGGTCTAGATGATGTCCTATATGAGGAATATCTTTAGCATAGGGGTCAAGGCATTCACTAAAGCAGGAAGTAGGTTTTTCTTGTGAAAGTTGTTTTTCATTTACAGAGGGATAATCACAAGAAATCGCATATTTTGGATTCTTTCTCTTTTCTTCTTCTGCTTTAGCGTTTTCTTCATCACTTTGAAAATACATTTTCTCGCCAAACCCTAGTCCCATGTAATCTTTGTTATAGATTTGAAGACAGTTAACTTTCTTTAGATTATGTGGGTTGGTTATGCCCAGTCCTATTTTAGCATTGTAAAATCGGTCATCCTTTTGTTTGTTGTTAAGCAGAAAAACTGTTTGTTCTGATTGACCTCTCTTAGCAGCTAGATCCTCTAGTTCTTTTACTTTATTTAAAAGTGTTCTTCTCTTGTTATGCAAAAAATCGCATTCAGCCTTTGCTGTGCTTTTCTCTCGTTCACTATCCTCAAATTTCTTAGTCAATTCAGCTATCTTAAGTTCAAAGCTTTCAAAATCTGAGGACACCTTTTTGACCTGATCTTTTGCAATTTCAAGTTGAACACTTAAGGAAGACTTTTGGTCTAGATTCTGTTTCAGTACCCTGTAATTATTGTCTAGTCTCTCCTTTAGATCTTTGATTAGATTGTCCTTCTCAAGTAAGGACTGCATTTGATTATTTAAAGGAGTGTGTGAGGTACTTACAGTGCTTGTTGAGCATTCGCTTTCGGGGATCGCAGCATCACCCTTTCTTTCATCTTCCTCCACTCGTGCCATAAGGGCATAGTTGTCTTCCTCCTCCTCCTCCTCAGAAGAATCTTCTGCCCAGTTCTCATTCTCAGCAATCATAGCAGAAGTTTCTTCTTCTTTCTGCACCATCAGCATTTTCTGCTTATTCCACATCATCTTCTGCTTGTAGAAATTAGCATCTTTCTTCTTTGGGAGGCGGCAGTCTTTGATGACATGTCTAGCCTTACCACAGTTGTAGCATTTGGGGGCGTCTTCAGCTGATGACGCCTTTCTGGAAGATCCTTGATCATGGTTCTTCTGCTTGTAGTTTGAGGAGGAAGTTCTCATCTTGTTGGAGGAGCTGTTCTTCTTAGCAAATCTTTTGGCAAGCAGTGTCATCTTCTTCTGTAAGTCTGCTAGCTCAGCCTCTAGATCAGATTTGTCATCATCACTATCATCATCATCTAATTCAACCACCACCTTCTTCTTTTTCTTCTTTAGTGAAGTGGTTGTCCTTCTTGGTTGAGCCTCCATTACAAGAGCTAAGGGGTTTGTGGTGTGATGATCCTCAGCACAGGCAACCTCGTTGACAAATTGCTTCAGATGTTCATAGAGTGTGCAGAGGTCAATTTCGTCCAAATCTATCCGAGATCTGACATCCTTCACTGTCTTTTCCCATGCAGGATGCAGGCTGGATAAAAATCTAATATTCAGTTCCAGATTGGACCTGAATACTTTGATTTTTCTGAGTTCATTTACCAGTTGAACAAGTCTGTTGTAAGTCTCATTCAATGGTTCTCCTGGACCTGCTTTGAAGGAGTCATAAGCGATAAGAATCGTAGTCTTCTTGGTTTTGAGACTGATGCTTGTGCCTTGGAGCAGCTTCTCTATCTCATCCCACATTTCCTTAGCTGTTTGCATGGTGTCTATGAGAACGTATACTTCATTGGGGATTGCATGAAGAAGGTATGTTTTGGCCATGAGGTCACCACGAAGTCTGAGCCTGTCAGCTTCTGTGTATTCAGATGGCACTTTCCTCCTTATTTCTGGAAAAATAGGAGGATTATTTTCTGGATCTCCACCAACTGAGATCAAGAGTTCAGCTGGTCCTTTAAGCAATGATTCAAGCATCGCAGCGGAGTTCTCTTTGTGCTCGAGGAAATTAAGGAATTTGTTCCTCCACATTTGGTATTCTCCCTTCCTGAGACTAGGAGGGGTACTGCTGTTCCCTTGTGCATTGAATTCTGAAGCCATTGTTGTACTAAACTGACCGTTCGAGAAAATTGATCAAAAGATTTTCAGAGGCAGAAAGTCGAAAAATCAGATGTCGAGATCTGAATATCGAAATCTCAGATTTCGATAAAGGAGGCCCAGTATCGAGATTTGAGCTCGAGATTAAAGATCTCGAGATTAGGGATCTCGAGATTTCAAATTTCGAGAAGCTTATCTCGAGATTTGAAATGTCGAGATGTTAAAACTCGAAACCTTAATTTTGAGAAGTCAAATGTCGAGACCAGATGTCGAAACCTTAACTCGAAATCAAGATCTCGAAATCCTAGATGTCGAAATCCTCAATGTCGAAATCCTGCAAACTGTAAAAATCAGATAAACAAAATCTGAAGGTAGTTTCCTGTAGAGTAGAATGTCGAGATCCTCGGGTAAAGTTTTCAGCTCGAAAAACGTAGCAGAACCTGTGAAAAATCAAGATGTCGACAACCCCTACTCGAGATATCTCGAATACAGAAAATGCGTAAAACAAAATCTGAAGTATACCCCTTGATCGCTTTGCAAAGACGATTCTAAGGGTGTAACTTTTACAAGTTTTGAACAAGAAACAAAATTACAGAGTGAAATATCGACAGTAAGAACAACGTAAAGAAAAACAGAGTATTCTGCAGGCATTCTTCTGATCGGTTCTCGATCGGCTCTGATACCAATTGTTAGTCCCTGTTTCTGTAACAGCAATGAATAACGATCTAACAACGAAGATTAAACGTAAGGATGAACACATAATGAATCAACATAAAACCCTCTTTGATAGACCGTGAACTTCGTACAACACAAAAGTATGCGCGTAAGGCTATGAAGAATAAGTACGACGTTAACCTAATCCTAAACCCTCGGCTCCCTTTTTATAGGCGAGGTTTAGGTTAGGCGTACAAGACTTTTAGCCTGTTTATATGGGCCTAACACTTGGCCCGATTGCTATCTAATTCATGCACTAATTAAATACAAGGATTAAATATAAAGCTAATCTATGACAAACTTGATTCACAATTAAATATCTCCAACATAACTCAATCCAACTCAAATTCAATCCAAATATAATCCAATCCAATATTCCAATAATTCCAATCAATTCAATAATTCAATTCCACCACAAATCCAATCAAATAATATTCACCTCAAGTCCAAATCAAGTCAATCAAATAATCTCAATCACCTCAATCCAATCAAATTTCAGTCAAACCAAGTCCAGTGGAAGCCGAACTTCTACCTTAAGTGTGCACACCCCCTAAAAGGGATTCCAAGCCCTCCGGGTAGTAAGAAGCCCGAGTAGTCGGGATTTTTCTACCAACTACACTACAATTAAGCTGGGATACTCCGTTTTTGGGAAGTACCCCTGGTGGATTTATGCTTAGAGCCATTACCACTCACCAAATATTCCACATTTATCCGGATGTGGCAAACCGACACCACGGATTTCTCCGGGTGCTCACAAAATCATAATTCAATCTCAATCAAAACGGATATTAAATCCAAACTCCACAAAATCATCCACAATGTAAAATATTAACGCCAACAACTACACTCGAATTCACCATACAATAAAATTTTACAAAAGAGCCAAATACTTCATAAATGTAATCCCAATAACAATTCATAAGATATCTCAAATACTCAAAAATATCATCCAATATCAAATACTCAAATCTCAAATATAATTCTCAATAACAATTCATAAGAAATTCCAAATACTCAAATGTAAATACTAGAATCTCAGAAAGTACTCAAATAATTTCAAAAATGATTTACGAGGAAAAAAAACATAATGTTGGTTGACGTGAAACTTACCTCAAATCACGATAATTCATAACCGAAGCTTCTATCTCGATCTTCTGCAAATAATCTAGGCAATTCTTCTACTTTGCTTCTCACTCAATCACCTTCTATTAAAATTTTATATGTCAATATCTATCCAAATTTATAGTTTAATTTATCTACCCTTCATGAATTCCCATTCTTATGATTTTATTGTTTCAACATTAATTATCACTATAATAATCCATTATTTAAATTATTCTTTTCAGTATAATCATTTTTTTTGCTAGACTTAACACTATTCGTATAGTCTCTATTTTTATTGCTCTGGCCGGTCCAAAGATGGGAGAAAACAAGTGGTCTAGCAGTGTATATTATTACTAAGTAATACATACTGCCCAAACACTATAAAAATCACTCAGCCCATGGTTTTATTATTATTATTATAGTCTATCAGATCAGCCTTTTCAGTCCAACATTAATAAGAAGGAACGTAGCAGGCGAAGCGAAGAGAAACATATGTACTATTCATTGAACGACTGAAGTCGGCGAATAAAAGAGACCAGGGCTAGCAGCCATACCACACAGTACGTCCTCGTTCGGCACTTTCCGGCGTTGCTCCCTCCGTGATCTTCTCTTCCGATAGTAGTGACCGAACTGAAGCCTTCCAACTCAACGTTACACTAGCTCTTCGGTGCAGCGGCCGGACTTCTCCTCCGGCGAGCAAAACTCAGCGCCTCAGCGGCGGTCCTTTCTTCCGGGGACGGCGTCCAAGTGTCACAGCGGCAGAACAGGCGACCGGTTGACACGAACGAGCAGCTGCGATCTTCTTCTTACTCCGGCGAATGGATGGCCGTCAGTCCGGCGAATCTGCGGCAACACCCCGGCGACAGTACTGTTCGATGGCAATAGTTTGGTCTCGTACCAGCAGCTCCAGAAAGTTTCGTATCACTCCTCCGGCGACAACGATCTCTATGTCATCCTAGCGACGGAGTCCGGCGATGTGCTCCATATATAGCATAGTAGCGCAGGTTTATTTCTTAAGCAGGTTTTAGTGCGCAAAGCTTATCATAGCGCAGGTATATATATGCCTTATTGGAAGCTTCTAGTCTAGGGTTTCGTACTACCTATTATAATTGTAATATAATTGTAATAATATTTGCTCAGCCCATTAAAATCTTCCAATAAAAACTTCAGTTTATAGACTTCAGTCGTACGTACATAACAGCTGACGCATGTACCTTAAATTGTATCATTACTTTAATTAACTCATACTGTAATATAGCTGACGTGCACTTGTAGTTAGGTGCACTCAAAATAAATACAATACAACGAATATACGTAGTATAACGAAGTAAGGTTCGTATCCACAGGGAAAGGAATACTTTTCTTTTATAAAAGTAGTAACAAGGGGGGTTTAGATTTGTTTGATTGAGAAACACTAAGATAAACAACCTATATGAGTTTAATTAATGAGATGAGGACTTGGTTTTGCTTTTATCCACTTAATGAAATGTTCGTCGATCCCGGTTATATCTTTAACTATCTTCCTCTCGAATACTCAATCGAGGAGTATATCCAGTTCATCGAGGGTAGTTATTAATAACGAGATGCGTTCATTAATAAAACTTACTATCGAGTCAATATAGAACAAGCGCCGTATATTAACTTGATAGTAGCAATAAACTTAAGATGAAAACGATTGAGATTGATAACCTCAACACAAGCGGTTTATTGGTTTAATCAATATAATTAATTCCCCTTGGCATATTAACCATGAGATGCATGCATTAATATTCCAAGTTTACTACCGTTGAAAGAACCGGATTAATAACAAGCGTATTAACCGATCGATTCTAGTAATAATTAATATGAGAAACAAAACTAGTTCATACTTTAAGTAATGTTTAAGATATTAACATGAAATATGAATAGGAATTAATTAATACTCAAGGAAGAATATTAAAGAATATGAATCCTACTATGATTAATATCAAGATGTTGACTAATTGTCATCTTAGTAACACTCCCCAATATTAACATAGAGGAAGAAATATCTATTACTATAATCAATGTCAAGATGTTAACTAATTGTCATCTTAGTAACACTCCCCAACTTTGATATAGAAATAGTATTTTAAAGAAAGAATTAATATTCAAGGAAGAAGATTAAAGAAAATAACTCACAACTTGCAAATTCATTAAGCTTCAAAGTAGCAAAACCAAGATGGAAGAGTTTAGCTCCTCATTTGGAGACTAAACATGATGAAAAATATAAAGAAAGAACTATTCTATACTGAGCTTAGATGTACAAAGGAATTGGATATCTTTTTGTGAAGGAAAGGAGGTGTATTTATAGGCTTTTGGGATGGGATTCGGGTACTCGATCGCGTATATACATGGTACCCGATCGAGTATGTGTGTAATACTCGATCCGAGGTATACTCGACCGGTTTCAGGCTTTTTTCCATAAGTATACCCGATCGAGTATATATTAATACCCGGTCGAGTATGCTTAGAAAATGGTATTCGGACCATACTCGACCGATCTTCGTTTAAAACTCAAAGGCATACCCGATCGGGTATGTCGGTCTACCCGATCGGGTATAGACATTAAATCGTGACCGAAATCTTCCCGGCATGTTCCCTTGTCTTCGGATCTGATCCGATTTGAAGTTCCAACCTAATACCCGATCGAGTATAGTTAATACTCGACCGAGTATAGACCAAAATTCAGGATCTTCTTTTGTCTTCACATTTTTGCACCTTCTTTCCACTTTTTGGGTTCACCAACTGTACTTCGAGTGATCAAGACCTGTTTGAGCTCAGAATATATCTAATCTAACCTATTTACAAGAATTTAACAAACTAATCTATTACACCAAAAGTGTGTAATTTCCATAGTAAAGATCAAGCAAAACTAATTAAAAACACAAACATAAATATGGAAATTACAAACATATCAACTCCCCCACACTTAAACCTTTACTCGTCTCGAGTAAAACCAAATGTTCACAAGTATCAAGTTTCTCCAAAACTTCCACAGTTCAATAAAAACAACATACAAACACAAAGACCACCAAGGATGACAAAGAAAAAATGAGTTTTAAACTCAAATTACAAAGAGCATCTTGGGTTTAATGGCCTTCTAGTGTTATCTTCTCTTCTCCTCCTCTCTTCTTCTTTATCTTCGATTTCCGAATCTTCATATTCTTCACAGGGATACAATGAGTGCCTGCAAAAACAAACATTTCTCTCATATCTCTCATTTTGCCTAGGAGCCTTTTCAGGTTTTCATCCTAGCATCTCTTTTCATTTTCCATTCTCCCCAACTCACTCATTTTTTTATAAGCCCTTTTTGCTTAGATTGCCCATTTTGTTGGGTTTTCAACCTAACTAGCATTTATTTTCTTTTATTTATTTATTTTTGTGTAAAAGTTCAAAAGAATTACATGCACAGTGCTAGGTGGAAATAAAAATTACATACCATCATGAGTGTCTCCCCCACACTTGAGTCAAGCACTATCCCTAGTGCCCGCCTTCTCCTCCGTAGTAGCTCCCTCCGAAGCCGCTCCCTTGGCCACCATCTCCCATATACGTGTCCCCGCCATCTCCGCCGTCGTACCCTCCACCCCCGGAGCCAGATCCTCCAAAGTTACCCCAATGAGTGGGGTCATACCACGAGGGTGGTGGAGGGGGGTTCGCCATGGTATGGAAGGATCCCTGTTGTGCCATATAAGAGTACATAGGTCCGTAGAACCTACGATGGTCTTCCTCATACCGATGTCTATCGGCCTCCCTGAGCTCCTCTAATCGCTGAAAACCGGCTCTTTGCTCCTCCTCTAATCGATTTAGCCGGTTGTCCATTTGGGCGTATCCCGTGAGCAGTTGTTGTTGACCCTCCAGAAGTTGTTGAAAGAAGTCGGGTGGTGGAGGGTTTTGGCTTTGTTCGGGGATGTCCTGGCCCATGTTTTGATGGCTATGGAGTTGAGAATAGGGCTCGTAATCGGGTTGGTGTTGGGGAGGTTCTTGTTCCGGTTCCTGGAGATGTGGTGGAAGGGCGTGTGGGAAGAGGTAATGTTGCTCCTCTCTTGCTGTTTTGTAGTGGAGTTGGGGGGGGGGGGTTCTGGGTTGGGCAGGAGGAAGTATTTGAGGGGTTTGGGGTGGATGAGCCAGTTGTACATATTCATGGGTCTTTCTTCACCATAAACGGTGTGTGAAAAAGATGTACAGCCCGAGTGGCCCAGCCAAGAAATGTTCATCAAACAGTAGTCGGGTATAGGAGAGTTATCCGTATACCCGAACTTTGTGGCCAAGTGCATAATCACCCCGCCCACTACAATAGCGCCCTTTGCCACGCTTTCTTTTTTGAGATGTGCCCACATAAGATTACACAGGTTGAAATCCACGTGAACACGGAATAGGGCTACCGATATCAGGCATACATCCCCCATCCTAGTGTGATGGTTGTTGGGACGTCCAAGCAAGGAGTTGGCAAGGAATCTCAAAAATAGGCGGAGGACGGGATGTTGGACATGACTAATATAGAGTTGGGAGGAGCTAAATTTAGTCTCCCCGGTCATCTTTGTCCATAGGGTATGGCCGAAGGCGGTATTGTCGGATATAGATTTTTGGTAAGGGACCGGAATACCAAAGTGTTCGGCGAACTCAAGTTTCGTGATGGAGTGGTTGTGGTTAAACAAGCGAAACTTGAGTTTATCATCCCTAAAATCCTCTTCATTGTTCTCAAATTGCACTGAGCTTAGGAATTCATAGATAATTTTTTCATTTGAGTGATATTGCATTTTAAATATCTTATCCATGCTCAACTCATGAAAAAATTTCTTAGTCATTTTGTACACTCCTAATTCCTTTAGGGCATCATGGCATAAAAAGCGAGAGGGTTTAACTTGCCTTTCAATGGTGGACATGAAGCGGGTGCGGTGTTCGTTGTCCATGAAGATGATGTCCTCGTAGCCCGGGATGGATGCCCTAGTGTTGGAGCTTTGTCCTTTCTCCTTCCTTGGAGCCATTTTTTAGTCAATTTGGCCTTGAAATCCGAAATTTGAAGGTGGGGGTAGGGTTTTTTCGGACCTCTGAAAACTGGGGGAGAATTGGATTGGTGAGTATGAGTGTGTAGAGGAGGATGAGGGGAGTGTTTTGGTGTTGAAATGGGATGATTTGGTGAAGAAATGGAGGAGATATGGTAGAGAGAAGGTGTAAAAATGGAGGTTGGGGGCGTTTTGTTCGAATTGGGGTTGGGGATTTTGGGGAAGATGAAGTGTTTGGGGCTGATTTGGGGTTATAATGCCCGTATACCCGATCGAGTATGTGCTGTTACTCGGTCGGGTATGTCTGGAAAGTGGGGTTTTTGAGCAGCCTGCCTCCGGTACTCGATCGGGTATGTGCTGTTACCCGGTCGAGTATTGCTGGAAAATGAAGTTCATGAGTGGTCTGCCTCCGGTACCCGGTCGAGTATTATTCCATACCCGATCGGGTATGTGTTCTTTTCTACTTTTGAGGCATGTACTCGGTCGAGTGTGGGAATCAGTCTCCTTCAACTTTAGCATTTCTGTACATACCCGATCGGGTGTATAGTAATACCCGATCGGGTATCCCTTGTTTTTCAATTTTCGAGCCCTGTACTTGACCGAATATGGGCATCAGTTTCCCTGGTACATCGACTTTCTGTACATACTCGACCGGTATATAGTGATACCCGATCGAGTAATGTCTATTTTCTTTCAAAAATCCATGCTTCCTCGATCGAGTAATGCCCGGTTCCCCTTCTTTTGCCATACCCGACCGAGTATAAGGTGGTACTCGATCGGGTATGTCCCCAGATGCTCCAAAACCTGCATTTTTTTATTTCTTTTCCTCCACAAACCTGTGATTAGTGCCCTCTCTCTCAACCTCCCAAGAACAGAATTGAAATTTTGGCAGCGGAGTTAACAATAAAAGAAAAATGTACCTTGCTTGGGTTGCCTCCCAAGAAGCGCCTTAGTTAACGTCGCGGCACGATGCCATTGTTGTGTTCATTCTTCAAAGATTGGATCGATGAGATCCATGCATTC